ATAGAAATTTTCAAAAATAAACCACCACAAAAAGAAGAGAACGACACATGCGCAATTTGTTTGGATGATATTGTTGAAAAAGATTCTATTTGGGTTTGTAATTTATGTCATGGTATTTTACATCATGGATGTGTCTTGGAATGGTCCGCTAAAACTCCATCAGTGTATCAATGGAATTGTCCAATGTGTAGAGACGAACATGATCATATTAAACCAAACGATCCTAAAAAATACTATCAAAAAAACAATCCAAATCGTTACAGCACAAGTATTATTAACTCATCATCATCACCAACATCCTCTTCTAATACCAAAAGTTCAAAATTTTCTAAATTTAGAAATTCATTAATGTTTAAAAAATAATATTTAAATATTAATATGTATATTCACTTTCTTATAATATCATTTATAAGAAAAAAAAATTTGTATAATAAAAATAAACATTTCTCCTTATTAAGATCTTCTTCTGAATATTTTTTTTATTTTATTTTTTTTTTTTTTTTTTTTTTAAATTTAAATTAAATTTTTTTTTTAAATTTTTTATTATTTTTTTTTTCAAATTTAACGAAATAAAACAAAAAAAAATTTAATATTATTTTTATCTTTTTTTATTACTTTTTACTAAAAAGAAATAGTTCATTTTAATAAAATAGGAATTATAAATAATAGCAATAAATAAATAATAATAATTATTTTTATAAAAATAAATATTAGTTTTTTAATTTAATAATATCTTTTTTTTTTTTTTTCTTCATCTAAAATTATTTTAATTTAATTTTATTATTTTAATTATTTTAATTTATCTTAATTTTTTTATTTCAAAATGATAAACAAAGATGATGCAAAAAAAAAAAAAGAAATTACAGATATTAGTATACAACAGAATCCGTATATGAACCCCCAACAAAAGAAAGAAAAGTTAGAGACATGTCAAAAACTAATTCAATATACAAGGGCGGGATTAATAGATGGTATTATTAAATCGTTACAGGATGGTGCAGCTATAGATTATAAAAGTAATGGGTTTACAGCATTAGGTGTCGCATGTTTTTATGGTAGATCGGAGATTGTAAAGTGGTTAATCGAACAAGCAAAGCCAGATATAGAAATTCCATCGACTACAACGGATACAACTCCTTTAGGCATAGCAATTCAAAGAAATTCAGTCGAAACAGTTAAGGTGTTATTGGATAGTGGTGCTTCTACAGCAGCAAAAGATAAAGATGGGGTTTCATTATTTTCTTATGCTATCAAATCATCGAATCTCGAAATTGTTAAACTCCTTTTTGATTCAAATACAGTAGATTTGGATCAACGTAATGAGGCCGATGGTAGTATGATAATTCATGAAGCTGCTTGCTCAAATCCAGAAATTATAGATTATTTAGTGTCTATTGGCGCCTCTTTAGAATCAAGAACTACAAATGGTAGAACCGTTTTACATAAAGCAATTGTTTTAAAAAATATACCACTGGTTAGATACTTGTCAACAAAACCAACACTCATTGATTCACAAGATAAAAGTAATTATTATCATAGATTATTTAATTATTTTTTAAATATCATACTAATTTTATTTTATTCATAAGATGATTATTCACCATTACACTTGGCTGTATTTTATGGATCATATGAGATTGTAAAAATATTATTAGAAAATAATGCTTCAAAAAATGTGGTAGAAGCTTCTGGTAGAACTCCTCTAGAAATGGCAAAATCAAGAGGTTTGGCTCCAATTGTAAATTTATTACAACAAGACGATGTAGTAGAAGATAGAGATGCAATGAAAAAGAAAAAAGAAAAAGGTAAAGGCAGTGACTCTGTTGATAATTCTGATTACGATGGCACTAAAAAGATTTTGGAAATGTTACAAAAAAGCAAATTATCAAATCCTAGAGTTAAAAAAGACAAATCAGAGACAATAGAGAAAATACCAAAAGAAAAAAAACCAAGAGCAAAAAAAGAAAAAGAAAGAGAGGAAAAAGAAGATGGAGTCAAAGAAAGTGAGGGCGAAGGTGAAAAAGCTGAAGAGGCTAAAGAAGCAATACCCGCTAAACCAAGGGGACAATACGCAATTAAACGTGGTGCTAAAAGAAAGCCTCTAAAAGATGATAGGAATATATTGATCGAAGATGGTCAAGAAATTGAAACCGTGTTTACTTTACCAACCAGAGGATCAAGAAGGTCTAAAGAATTATCTCTAGCAACAACATCAAAAAAAGAAAAATCAACAAGTGAAAGTAAAAAAGGTAGAAGAAAAAGTAATGTTAAAGAATATTTGGATGATATTGAAGTTATAGATGATACTAAAATAGATGATGATGTCGATAGTGACTCTGGAGTAGAAGTTTTAAATGTTGATAATGAAGAAATATCTACCGATACTGATGATAGCTATAAAGAAAAAAAAAAACGTTCGAAAAGGGGTAGAAAAAAGAAACAAGTGGAACTTTTAGAGGAAGAAGATGAAGAGCCACATTATAGAGTTGAAAGACCACGAAGAGAACGAAAACAAAGGTACTATTTTAACACCTCTTCTGAAAGTGAAGGGGAGCAAGAACAAGAAGATGAAATAGAGGAGCAAGTGGTTAAAAAGAAAAATAGAGGTAGAAAATCAAAGTACAGTTTTACTAGTTCATCTGAAGAAGAGATGCCAAAGAAAGGAGGAAGAATAAGAACAAGACGTGCTACAGAAAATATAGATGACGATTATGAGGAGAGTGAAGTTTATAAGAATAATAAATTAGATACCAGTGATGTTGAAGAAAGTGAACAGGATAAAAGAAAAAAATCATCAACACCTAAAAAAAGAGGTAGGAAACCAAAAAGAAAAACTAGGGAACAGGATATTTATATCAGTGATGAAGAAAAATCAGAAAAAGAGCAAGCGGAAGTTGAAGTTGAAGCCGATGCCGAGGCTGAGGATTACGAAGAGGATGAAACAGTGGAGGATGAAAAATCATCAAAGAGAAGGAGAAAACCATTTAAACCATCCAAAGCAGCAAGTGTTAGCAATAATATTACTAATATTACTAATATGGCTAGTATTTTTGAAAGAAAGAAACCAACTAAAGAGGAAGAGGAAGCACTAAGTATTTTCAGAATTAGCAAAACTAAAACGACAGTACCAACACCGACACCAACACCGACACCAACACCAACACCAATAACATCATCAAAACAAAAAGGAAGACCTAGGAAGCAAGTAAAAGCTGATGAAAATATCGAAACTATTAATAATAATAATAATAATAATAATAATAATAATAATAATAATAATAATAATACTACTATTAATATTAATGAATCAACTAGACCTCAGAGAATAAGAAGATCGGTTCATTAAAAAAAAATCAATAATTAATAATTAATATTAACCTCAATTGTAAAATCATAAACTAATATATTGAAATATATTTTAATAAAACTTTTTTTTTTTTTATGATCACCAATCAGTGTTGGAATATTTAAAAATATACACGCAATTTTTTTTTAAAATTCATTCGATTTTAGACAAATATCAACAATCATTATCAATTCGTAATTATGATGGTTTTTTTTTTGTAAAATTTTTTTTTAAATTTAATTTTTTTTAAATTTAATTTTTTTTTTTGAAAGATTTTTTATAATAATTATTAAATTATAAATAAACAAAATTTTTTTTATTTTGTTTCAAATAATTAATCAAATATTTTAATTTCAAAAATTTATAAAATTTTTTTTTTTTTTTTTTTTTTTTTTTTTTTAAATAATTCAATTTATATATTATACACATTTAAATATCTTTATATAATATCTTTGTAAATTTAAAATGGAACAAGTAATGGAATTTATAATTAAAAATAAATATACTCTAGGTATAGCATTGGGTGGTAGTTTATTATTAGGCTCTTATTTAACCCCAAAAAATCAAATTGTAGGTATAATAATAAATAAATCTATTAATAAATATTGTTTATTAACATTTTTAATTTTTTAACTTAGAAATATGAACGTGATGTTGTATATGTAGCAGATTTTCCATCAACAAATACAGATTTACCATCTTATTCACCATTTGTTTTAAAAGTTATTGTATTTTTAGAGTATAATAGCATTCCATATCATGTTGATAAGAGTGGCAAATTAGGTCCAAATCCAAGAGGTAAAAACCCATTCATCCGTTATAATGATGAGTTTGTTTACGACTCTCATTTCATCATCGAGTGGTTAAAAACCAAATTTAATATTGTAACCAATATGGAAATTTTAGATAATGTTGAAGAGGCAAAATCCTATTTAGTAAAAAGATTTGTTGATGAGGCTTTTACAAAACTTGTAGCTTATAACAGATGGGTAGATCCAGTTTCATCAAAAGAGATTTTACCAAGAATGTTTAGTGGTATCGAAAACAAATTAATTAGAAATATCGTTATGTATTTTGTACAAAGAGGCTCAAGAAAATCTTATACAGCTCAAGGTGTTGGACTTTATACCAAGGATGAAATTAATTCATTTGTAAAGAGTGATATTTTGGCTTTGGCAACTCTTTTGGGTGAAAAGAAATTTTTTTATGGTGATAACCTTACCGTTTCCGATATAAGTATTTTCTCAGCATTGGCTCAAATTTTATTTGTTCCAGTCGAAACTCCATTACGTGAAATATTATTACAAAACCAAAATCTCGTTGACTATATAGAAAATGTTAAAACTTTAGTCTTCTCTGATGCTAAATGGACATCCTTGTGCAAATAATAAATTAATTAATAATATAAAAATCACAAATAATTATTAATTTATAATAATATATTTATATTTATACAATAACATTTAATTAAAATCCAATATATCTGAACCATAAAGTGGTTTAACCCTAAATTTTTTAGAAAAAAAAAATAAAATAAAAAAAGAAGAAATCTCTGAAATCTGCAGATTTAATGTAGTTTTAATTATATTTATTATTTTTTAATTATTTTTTCACCTTTTTTTTTTTTTTTTTTTTAATTTTTTCTTTTTTTATTTCAGTTTTTTTTTTTATTTTTTAATTTTTAAATTTATGATTTATATATCACCAAAACTTGTAAATATATATAAAATCAAATAAAAATGGTTGTAGAAAATATTTTTTTTGTTTTATTTTTTTCTTTATTATATTCATTATTTCCAGTTTTATTGAATATTGCAACTAAATATTTTAATATAAAACTATCTGATGAACAAAAAATTGATTGGGTTAATAGGTAAGTTAGTAGGGCTGTATAATGGATATATTATTATGTTTCGCGATACTAATTTTTATATTATAAAAATAAAGATTTGTTTCAACTGTAAATGCTGTTATTACATCAGCAATTTCAATTATTGCGCTTTTAAATGCCTCAGAATGGGTCAAACACCCTTTCTATTCAACATGCGATATGTCAAACTTTGTTATGAAGTTTATTTCATTTTATTTTGTATTTGATACAGCACAAACAGTATTTTATTATAAAGCATTATTTAGTTGGCAAACTATTTTCCATCATTTTATAGCCTTGGGAGGATTTTTCTTTATCGGCTTAGTAATTTATCATTTATTTACTACTAGTAAATCAAATCAATTATTTTAATTTACTAATTTTTTAAAAATAATAATAGATAAGACAGGAAGCACACTTTTTAATTTTATATTATTCATTCAGTGAATGTACAACTCCATTTGTCAATTTAAGAAAACATTTGTATGATTTAGAATTACAAAATACAATTTTATATAAAGTAAATGGAATGATAATGGCAATAGGTTTTGTTACTATTAGAGTTTTTTTCATCACCTATTCAATTTGGGAACTTTACCATAGAGGATTAGAAATACCATACTTTACTAATATATTTTTTTATACAGTTTACCCATCAATAACATGCTTAAACTTTTACTGGACCTTTTTAATTGTAAAGGGAATTATTAAAGCTTTATCAAAGAAAAAAGATATTGACAATCACAGTTCTACAAATAATAAAACAACAAAAGAAATAAAATCCCAATAGGAAAAAAATAAATAAAAACAATAAACATTTGTACATTTAGTTATTCCCTTCCTTTTATAATTTTTTTTTTCTTTAATAAATTTAAACAATTATAAAAATTAATTTCTCCATATCAAGAAAACGAAAAAAATTTGGGGGTACCCACCACATATATTAACACTTATTTTTTAAGAAAAAAAAATATTATTTTAAATAATTTATTTTTTTAAAATAAATAAATTTATTATAATTTTATTTTTTTTTTATTTTATTTATTTAATTTTAATTTTTTTTTTATTATTTTTTTTTTTTCAAACTAATAGTTTAATTTACATTTCTTCTTATTTATTTATTTATACAGGTATATAGTTTCAAAAAAAAATGATCGAGGCAAATAATTTTAATATTGGCAATACATATAATATATATGAACCGTTTTGGTTCTCAATTTTTTTCATTTCTTTATATTATTTTATACCAAATATAATAGACACATTAAACG